CCCGCAAACCATGAATGTACACACAAAATTTGTACCTAGTGCAAAACACACAGGGCCTGGTGCATTTTTGTCCAGCAAATACGCCTCAAAACTTTATGGCCCATAAGTAATAAGACCTGGGGATCTCTTAAAAATGCCGATTCCATCTCATCAGATCTGGGTGGGGCAGAAATTCTACATTCCAAACAAGCTCTTGACTGCTATCCTGGGGACCACCCTTTGAGCAGGGAGGCTGCCCTGTGAAGTGCATGAGGTTTGAACACAGCTGGACTGGGGTCAGATCCTGACTCCACCGCTTATAAGCTGAGAGACCCCAGGAAAAGTACTTAACTGCCCTGAGCCAGTTTTGACCACCAGTTCACATGGAAATAGCAACGACACCCTCTTTTCATGACTCCAATGGGTAGGTCAGCTAGCAGCACTGGTCCTAGCACATACCCTGAACTGCATCCCATGTGTGGTAGGCTGAACAGTGGCCCCCAAAGATGTCCACATCCCAATCCCCCGAACCTGTGAATGTGTTATCTTGCACGGAAAGAGGGGAATTTGCAGATGTGATAAAGTTTGAGCTGGAGATCTTTATCAGATCTTGAGGTCCTGGGTTATTGGAGAAGGCCAATAACCACAAGGGTGTTTATAAGAAAGAAGCAGGAGGGTAGGTTTAAGGGAGAGAATATGACGGGCGCCTGGGTGGCTCAGAGCATCTGACTCTTGATTTCAGCTCAGGTCATGCTCAGAGGGTCATCGGATCAAGCCCCATGTCCAGCTCTGTGCTGAGCATGGAGTCTGCTTGACATTTTCTCTCTCCCTCTCTCTCTGCCCTCCCTTGCTCTCTCTCTCTCTCTCTCTCTCAAATTAAAAAAAAAATAAATAAAAGAGGATGAATCAAAGGTCAGAGAAGAGAGAAAACGCTATGCTGCTGGCTGTGAAGATGGAAATGGCCATGACCCAAGAAAGGTGGGCAGCCTCCGGAAGCTGAAGCCTGTCGAACACCACAGCGCTGCAGACCCAGGGCTTCTAGACTTCGGACCTCCAGGACTGCAGGACAATCATTGTGTGTTGTTCCAAGCCACTGAGCTTGCAGGAGTTTGTTACAGCAGCCACACAAAACTCACACACCTCGTACTGGAATAAGGCTAGTGCGGGCTTGCCTCGCTTTACGTTTGCAGGATTTCCAGAGGCCAAATCAGTCACGGACGTGAAATCATGTAACAGCTGCCCAAAGCAGAGGACCATATACAAAGAACCCTTCAAGGAGCCTTTATATCCAGGGAAGAATTTGTTCCACACTATCTGTTATGTTTGGTTGTGGCAATTTTTAATCAACAGGGCAGACACACACATTAATAACAAACTGTTTTACAGGCTGAGAGGACCCCCTATTCTCGAATGGCATCATCACATTCCACCTGTTGATTCCTCACATGACTGCCGAAACCGAGCAAGGTTCCCACGGACAGCATCAGGGGGTCAGAGTCTCCACATCAGGGCGACCAAACAAAGTACCCTGGGCTTCAGCGTGATGGACCGAAAATCAGTGGTCTCAAGAGCACAAATGTCCATTTGCTATTGATAATGCGTTTATCCCACTGAGAAGCTTCATAAAATAAGAAAATACCAACGTAACCAAAAAGACATCTGCAGAGTGAAAACATGTCTTTCAAAACTACCTGGACTTTGTCCTGCATTTCTTAGGCTTTCCCTTCAGGCCCTGGCACCGTCCTTCCTTTTGCACTTCCTTTATCAGACTCTACGTTCCACAGAAGGGCTGCTTGCTCATCTCCAACCATTATATCCACAGCATCTGGCATTGTAACTGGCACTCAGTGTGTACACGCTGAGTATGTGTAGGTGAACAAATATTATGACGAATATTTATTTTTTTAACGTTTATTCATTTTTGGGAGGCAGAGAGAGACAGAGTGTGAGCGGGGGAGGGGCAGAGAGAGAGGAAGACACAGAATCTGAAACAGGCTCCAGGCTCCAAGCTGTCAGCACAGAGCCCGACACGGGGTTCGAACCCACGAACTGCGAGATCATGACCTGAGCAGAAGGCTGACGCTTAACCGATTGAGCCACTCAGATGCCCCATGATGAATATTTATAATGGAAAAGTGCATTATGACTTTCATTAGAACAAGCATTATTCATAAAGTTCTTTCGCTCCAGTTTGAACTTAAAACTACTTGGCCCAAGATATTATTTATGGTAGAATTAAAAGTATGCTTTCTGATTTTATTTGCCTATTAATATATGCATCTGATAATTAACAATGTGCTAAGCAGTCAAAGCAAATAATTACTTTTCTAGTGTCTGCCCCTGCATATGAGCTAAATGAGGAGGAAGCCGCTAATTGCATATTAAAAAATGGTAACTAGCTTTAAAACGTTCTGCTTAATCTCCGACCACAATATTCAAAACAGTTACAGTCCCTCCACTGGCTCAGTTACAAGCATCCAAAACAGTCCAACTCTTCAGAAGAGATACAAATTCTGCTCGGGTCACACTGCATATAAAATATGTGCTCAAAAGATTGCCAGTTCACGTTTACAAGGTCTTCTGACCAACGGGAAAAGTTGAGCATAAAAACCGTATCTTTTAATTTACTATGCTCAGTAAATTTCATTGAAGCAGCAATGAGATTGCATGGAGAGCTTTTATTTTAAATCTTATTTTGAAATACGACTGAACACATTAATGTAATTCGGAACAAGTTGGTAAACATCTACGAAAACATGCTATATAATTCTAGTGAGTCCTGTAACATTTCTATTTGCAAAGAAAAGAAATCGCTGCACATAAAAACAGTAGATTTGGAATCTGACCTTCAACTGTCCAGGAAAAGCAGAACTTTGCTCACTGGATGGTCCAGAATGAGAGATCTAGCTGATGCTACAGTGCACATGGGCCAAATGATGCCAAAGCACCCTGCTAACAGCAAATCAGACCATCGGGAAGCAGCATTAATCTGGTCAACTGGCATATTACCCTGATTTTACCTTGTCAACCAAGACTCTGGGTCCTACTCTGATTTCTAACTCCTTTAGAGACTGGGGCATCCTGTGGTCACCAAGGGTGACCAAGTGTGAATGTGCTTCTGCTCCAAGCTGCTGAGATGTCCACCCCCTGCACCTGCCCCCATGTGGTGAAGCCCTACAAGGTCGAGGTTTTGAATGCTTATTGCACTGATGGGCTCAGAAATGGAGGCCCAGAGAAGGTAAGGGGACTGGTCCAAGTTTACCCAGCACATCAGTGGCAGGTGTGGAGCTGGCATCCACCCTAGTTCAGGTCTCTATCCACTGCCTTACTTTCCTTCTTTCCCACCTTGCCACCTCTGTATAAGCCCAATAGCAGGACAGGCTGATTCTCCGGGGATGACCGCCCTTGGGTTCCATCCAATGACATGGGCATGTCCACATTCATGATTTTGCATAAAATATGTGTAAACAGAGAATGAGGGGAATTCTGAGGGTTCCTCCTGCTCATTACACTCACTGGACTTGGGGAGAGTGATTCCGGGCAGCCCTTTTTCCATCCTCACATCTTTACTTTGGGATTGTTCTCGATAGGTTGGCTGCTAGACAAGGGAAGCTTGAAAAATGAATGCAACCCAGCCTATTGTAGAGTGCCTCAGCTTGTAAAGGCACTGGAAATCACATCAGGACCCAGAGTCCTGGTTTACAAGATGGCATTAGCCAAAGCAAACGTGTGGCCACTGCAGTGTTTTCTGCAATGGTCTTCAAGCCACTGCTGCTCCAAAAGCAGAGACCACTGTTCCACTAACAGTGGACATGGGAGTCCACGCTACCTCTCTGATGGGCAGGTGGAGGTTCCACCTGCTTGTACTTGCTCACTGGACTTTATTCTTGCCTGGGAGAGAAGGTATCGGAAGAAGAAACAAAACGCAAGAGACTTCTAGAAGGCACCTGTTGTTTCTTACATTCGATCTCACTTTTCTTGTGCGGAACCATCCTGCTCTTCAGACCACACTGCTGCAGTGGAAATGAGCCCACACCCTGGTTTCAAGGGGCCATAAGAGCAGGATGAAGGATGAGTGCTGGTCTGGGACTTTGATTGGACCACCAAGAATGAGGCACTTTCTTTCTCTTATGGTTTCTGGTAGGAGCTCCCAGGGACCACTACCTAGAGACAGCCTGCCTAAAAATGAAATCAACCCAGAGGAAAGCAGGGCTGAGCAACAGAAACCAAGTCCTGATCACAACTCTAAGCTTCTGGATCCAGCCATACCTGAAGCCCAGAGAGGCCCCTGGACTTCACAGTCCCATAAAGGAACACACATGTTTAAAAACATAGGGGCACTGCCGGGGTGGCTCAGTCGGTTAAGCCTCTGATTTCAGCTCAGGTCACGATCTCACAGTTTGTGGGTTCGAGTCCCATGTCGGGCTCTGTGTTGACAGCGTGGAGCCTGGAGCCTGCTTCGGATTCTGTGTCTCCCACTGTCTGTGTCCCTGTCCCACTTCTGCTTGCTCTCTCTCAAAAAAAAAAAAAAATTTAAAACATAAAAAAAGTTTTAATAAAAAATATAATAATAATAATAATAATAATAATAATCCAGTTTATGTTAGATTTCTGTCACTTGCAAATGAAAAAGCACTAACAAATACAGGAGAAATTAAAGTGTCAGAAGAGGAGAAACAAGAGAAGAAGGTTACATTTATGGATATGGTATCTGGAAGCAGTTCAAGTTTGTCCCCTGGAAATAAAGGTGACACATGGGAATCTGTTCCATTTTTCATAGTAAGCTCAGATCATCAGAACTGTAGCTCTGCCTAATTACGGCGATCAATCTCGCCAAATTCTAAATATAAAATGAGTGTGCGTTTTCTGATGTTCAAGGATACTCCCTCCAATAGCCACGGAGGGAAGGAGTGAGCCATTCCTAAATAAAGACGTCTCTTCGAGAGAAATCTGTTCCTCTGCCCAAATGCACTCAGGACCAGAGGAAGCAGAGGAGGCCCCAGGCCCCGTGCAAGGCTTACCTGGCATGGCGTGGATGAGGTCCCCGCAGAGAACAAAGAATCTGGGTCTGGGCTTCAACTTGTTGACGGCCTGAACAGCTTGCTCAGTTAGACGGATCTCCTGCCCCCACTCGTCACCGCCGCTGTCACAGTTCCCGGTGGACCAGGCCTTCATGAGCCCGAACTGTGGGTCTGCGCCTTGGATGAAGTAGAATGGGCCTTTCCATTCCCTTTCCTTTTCTTGTAAAAACGAAGGGGGCGGGGGAGGGAGAGGGAAGAAATATTATAAAATCTGTCAGGGAAAGCATCCAGGTTATCGTGCAAGTGGATACAATATTTTTCTTAAATTAAGTAGGTCATTTTAATAAGCTGCTGTTCAAACATACCATTTTCCTGTCATAGTCTAGAGGATTTTGATTTATACTAATTATGCCTGGGACCTGGTGATTCCCAAAGGCCAGGAAAAACCACGTGGGCAGCAACAGCCACCCAGCCAAGCTGTTTGTTTAAAACTAGCCGGCCAAGATGGAGCACAGAGGCACAACAGCATGCCGTATAGAGGATATTAACGTTCAATAATAGTTTTTTAATTAGAATTAAAAATACCAGAAATTGAAAGCTGCCAGAAGTATTATATTTAAATTACTAGGTGAAGTGCTTGCAAATCTTTTATGCCAGGCTTAATGGCACAATTTGCACTGTTTCGGGGGATGTGACAGAATTTTAATTATAAAACTCGGAGCTTGGAAGCTCTGGCGATCTGGCAGGAGATGCAGTGCCAGAAATGAAATCTCGAAATGAGTTAGTCAACGAGAAAAAAAGAAAAAAAAATCGATGCTAACATTTCAAAGGCAGCACGATGCGGGCTTAAACGAGGTGTGAGGCTGGGGGGTGGGGGGGAAGCAGGGAGAAAGGAAGGAAGAGGGGATTCTTCATGTTCTTGGAAAGGGTGCTACGTCAACTGCACCAAAAGGATTAGGCTTGCCCTTCCTGCTGGTTCTGCTGCTCCCAAGCTTCATGGGCCACAGGTGCCCACCCTTATCAGACCAAAGAACTGCACTGGGCACGTGGTTTTGCGGAGCAGGAAGGGCCATTAGTGGGCATGGAATCCCTGTGGGTGTCCAGCTTTTCTTTTTCCTGGTGACAGCACCCTTTCCACCCTTTCTTCGAACCAAACCTTACACGGTAGACCAGTGTTGAAAACCAGAGCTCCTGAGCCTGAGTTGGGTCCGAGCGCAGAGCAGCATGAAGAGCCCCAATCTGCAGCCCCTGTTTTTATCCTCTGAGGAGGCTGTGGCCCAGAGACGTGCCACAGCTTGCCTAACGGCCACCAGCGATCCGTGGCAGGGACAAAACGACCCCACCACCTTCAGACTGTTTTCTTCTTTTTAACAAATTAGTGTATCTTGCATGTGAACTGAGTAAGTGGCATTTCCTGTGGAAGTCATGAAGATATTACAACTTCCACAAAATTCCTTAGAGTCAGTTCACATCTGTGGGTTCGGCACATTCATTTATTCGGTAAGTGTTCACCGAGAGTCAACTGTTTGCCAGGCCCCACACGTGGTGGCGACAATACACGTCTGGACCCAGACAGCCGAGCCCCCTGCTCTCCCGGGGCTCAGTCCGCACGGGGGACGAAGACGACGGACAAAGAAGTGAGCAGGGAAGGGAGCCAGAATGCCAGGACTAGGAAGGTGGCGTGAGAAGCAATGGCCAATTCCAACTGGGCACACAGGGAAGGCCTCTCTCTAACGTGCCACATCCAGGCTGAGATCTCAGTGGCAAAGCACCAGTCCAACCTTTCCGAATTCCGCAGCCACCCTCCAGCCCACCACACTGGCCTGCTGTCATCCTACAGTAGACCCCCGGCGTTAGGCCACCCTTCCTCCTCAATTTCTTTACCAGAACTTAAAGACGCAGCGTGCGAACTGCCCGCACTTATAGAACAAACTGTGTGTGCAAAGTCACCCCACGAGTTCCGGACCTACAGCTCGGGTGGTTAACTGCTCGAGCAAGTCACAACCAACTTGAACTCCATCTGAACAAGGGCTGCATGAAGCCCTGGGGCATGCATCTCATTGCTAAGGACGGCTATCTGGCACTACAGCTGATGGGAACTTGTATTTATTGAGCCCTTACTACGTGCGGCAGAAAGACTCCAAGAAGGTCCCAAAGATCCCTGCGTTGTGACAGTCACGTCCCTGTGCAATCCCCTCAACTGTGACTTTGTTCTAATAAGCAGAACACAGCGATGGGATGTCCCTTCAGGGATTAGGTGGCACCAAGATAGGGAAACAATCTAAATGTACCTCAATGGACAGACGGATAAATAAAATGTGGTATATATGTACGATGTGCTATTGTTCAGTCTTAAAAAAGAAGGAAATCCTGCCACTTGAAATAATATGGATGGACCTAGAGGGCATTATGCTAGCTGATAGAAGTCAGCCAAAGAAAGACAAATACGGTCTGATCTCACTGATATGTGGCTTCTAATACAAACTCATAGAAGCAGAGAGTAGAATGGTGGACACCAGGGGCTGAGGGTTAGGGGAAATGGGGGAGGTGATGGCCAAAGGGTACAAAGTTCTAGTTCGACAAGATAAAGAAGTCTTGTAGACTTACTGCACAGCATCATGCCCTCAGCTAATAATACGATACTATATACTTAAAATTTGCTACAAAGGTAGAATCTATGTGAAGTACTCTTAGCATACACACAAGTAATAATAACAATAATAATAAAGGTAATAAAGTGGTTAAAGGTAATAAAAAGTAATAATAATAATAATAATAAAGGTAATGATAATAATAATAATAATAAAGATAAAGATTATACAGGTTTTGGGAGGAGATGAGTATGTTTACGACCCTGATGGTAGTGATGGTTCCACAGATGTGTACTTATCCCCAAACTCTTGGGGACTGTTGTACACATTAAACATATACAGCTTTTTACAGGTCAACCATGCCTCAATAAAAATGGCTAAAAAGAGAGAGAGAGAGGGAGAGGGAGAGAGTGAGGAAGGGAAGGACAGAGAGGGAGGGAGAGACAGAGGGAGGGAGGCAGAGAGAGAAGGGGAGAGAGAGGGAGGGAGAGAGTAGGCTAGAAAAAGACCATGACTTCCATCTTGCTCATTCTCTCTCGCTCTCTCTCAGAGCCCTCGCCCTGCATGAAAAAGGCTGTCACACAGTGACTCGTCCTATGGAGAAGCCAACATAGTAAGGAAGGAACTGAGGCAACAGCCCATGGAGAACAGAGGTCCTCCATGCAACAACCCAAAGGACTGGAATCCTGTGAATAAGCACGTGAGTGAACTGGGAAAAAGGGATTCTCCCTTAGTCGGGCTGTCAGATGAGACCACAGCCCCAGCTGACACCATGCGTGAATGCTGGAGGAGACCCTGCTGCAGAAGGATCCATTCGGCCGGGCAGTGCCCCGATTCCACATGGAAACTGTGAGAGGACAATGAAAATTTGTGGTTTCAAGCTGCCAAGTTTCAGGGACATCTGCTACAAAGTAGTAATAGATCCTGAGGGATCAGGCATTAAAGACACAGAGTCAGCAAGACTTCTCTTCAAGAGGTGAAGGCTGGGGTCATGAAAAAAAAAATGAGATTCCCATTTGTGTTTTAAAGTTAATTGTTAGCATCAATCATTTATTTTCCTTGAATAATAACCTTTTCACACTGAATGCTTTTAGCTACATTCCTGTTTCTGAGGCAGACTGCAGAGTTGTTTAAACTGGACAGATGAATCAGAACCAGATCAGGGAGGGGATCATCACCCCAAGGCTGGTGCATAAACCAATATTCTGTAACCAACAGAATTTATACACAGTTTTCTACAGCAAACGTCTTAACAAATATAGTTTCCTACAACAAAACAGTCATCATCTCGAAGGTCCTTGGAGATATTAGAACAAATCTTCCATTATTATTTGTTTACTTACTAAAATCTTAGACTCTCAACTTTATGAGGACAAGGTACAAAATAAATAGATCTGACCTGAAATGATGACAGCTCACTACGTAACAATGTATAAATTTATAACTCCCCCATCCCTCACCAGGGACAGATTTTTATTACGAATCTGAATGCTTAACAACACTTGCCTTAACCGATGTGGCCGAAGTCTACAGTCACACCCAGGGGCGGGCACAGGTATCAGGTGACATCTACAAGAGCCAGGGAGAGCTTGCCGCACCATCCCCTGCGGGGCAGAGGTCTGGACCTGGCACAGTCCAGCTTCTCTCTTTAGACTCCCCGAAAACACTGTTCTGGCAGTTCGAGCCACAGAAGGTCAGATGTACTGAAATGCCTGATAGCCCCCCACGCCCCAAGAGGAGCACAAGTGCCGGAAGTGGAGGCTGAGGGAGAGAGAGAAGGTGCATATGACAGGAGAGCTCCATGAAGCATGCCACACTGGGCGTGAAAGGCAGGGCTGGGCCTACACCTCAGCATCAGCACCTGTGAGCCTGCTGGAAAGACAGCCTCTCAAGCCCATCCCAGGCCTACTGCCTACTGAGGCAGAGTCTGCATTTTAACAAATCTCCATGTGATCTGTATGCAAGTCCAAGTTTGAGAAGCACTGACCTGTAACTAATAGGTTGAACTGCCTAAATGTGTGTGATCAGAAACAGGTGCAAAGTGATTTTTGTTTCCCTCTACTGAAATAATGGCTTGGGGGAATTATTATTGTTTTTGCATATTTTGCAATTCATTTTTAGGTCCCTGTCTGTGTCCAGCTCAGGTAATTTCCAAAATCGATAAAAGAGTGCAGTCAGGGACCCTAATTGGTGAGTATGATAAGGCCAAGGTCAAATTTTGAGTATTTGTAGAATGAATGCATTAAAGAATAAAGCGACTTCATTAAACTAAGACCTCATATTTGACCTAGGTGGTACCAAACAAGACTATAATCTTCAGAAACATCTGACACAACCTTCTAGTAATGTCTACAGGGTACTTACTGTTAATACATCATAAAACATGTATGTATTTAACTAAAACACCTGAATATAAATAAGAATGTCCACGGGGAACTGAATTTTTTCAATGTTAATTTGTGTAACAAATTCGAAAAGCTGGTGTAGAAGCTGATGCTATTGTAACAAATGAGCACAGATGTAGTAGTCTGAAACTACACATTCATTATCTCAGTTTCTGTGGGTTGGGGTTCTAAGGCAGGGCTTAGCTGGGTCCTCTGCTCAGGGTCTCTCACAAGCTGCAATTAT